CACGGGTGTGGCACAGGGAGGTGACCACAGCCTGGGACTGGCACTGCTGCACGTGGGAACAGCCCCACAGGGATGGTGTGGGAACAAACAGCCCCACAGGGACACTGTGGGGACCCTGGCTGTATCCATGCCCAGGGATGCCAGAGCCATCCTAGGGCCCTGTCCCACCCCAAGCTGGCAGAGGTGACAGTGACCAGCCCTGGGCCCCGTTGTGCAGAGCATCCCTCCTCACTGCCAGCCAGGACAGACCATGGTGGGGTGATCGAGTGCCCTGGCTGAGCCTGGACAAGGGACAGGGATTGTTCATCCCTTCACAGGACAGAATGGGGACATGACCCAGTGCAGGGAGCAAAGGGAACTGGGCAAACTCAGGCAGTGGGGACCAAGGTTCCCAGCCCACTGTCCCCTGTCCCAGTCAGTGCTGGCCATGTCCCTTCAGCTGCCTGCACCCATCTGGGGGGACACAGGGGCTGTGCAGGGCCAGGCACCGGGTGCTGAAACCCAGGTGACACACAGGGGACACAGCAGTGGATGAGAGGACCTGGCCCTCCTCTGGGGCACAGCCTGAGGGTCACCCCAGGGCAGGGCTCCTCACCAGCTCCCTGTGCTGGCCACCTCTGCCAGGTCCCATTTACACCAGGGACAGCCAGCTCCGAGTGCAGAGGGAAAACAGCATCAGGTGAGATGGACAACAGCCCTACAGGGCCAGTGCTGCCATGGCCCCACTACGGCCCCACCACTGTCCTGCCAGCCAAGGGGCACTGCCACCACCCCACCAGCTGTGGGACATTGTCACCGCCCTGCCAACCAGGCCAGTTCTGTTCATGGAGCTGCTCGCTCCAGCAGCACCAGCCATAGCAGGGGACAGGTGGTACCAGGTGATAAAGTCACTGAAGGAGCACAGCAGGGACAAACAACCTCACCAAGTCAGGCTGGGACATCCCTGAGCTGCTCATGCCACGGTCACACCAAGGAGCCTGGGCTTGGGCAGCTCCATGCGATCCCAGCAGGAGAGAAAGCCCCAGGGCAAAGAAGTGCTCCCTTGTCCCCAGTGCCAGCAGGGCCACCCAGTGCCCCCCAACACAACCTCCTTAGGCACCAGGGCATGTGCAAAGACCCCTGGTCCCAGCCATAGAGGACAGAACCCCTGCAATCCCTGCTCCTGGGTGCTCCTGACGCACAGCCCCGCAGCATCTGTCACCTGCCTGTGTCCTGGGGACGGTCCCCAGGGCTCACCTGGGCTCTGCCTGCACTGAGCCAGCCCCGAGAGCATCCCCTGGGAATCCCCTGAGCCACAGCCCCTTCCAGCTCCGTGTGCACAGC